TAAAATAAAAAAGGAGTAATGTATCCAATTGATTCTTGTAGTATTACAATTTTCAATCTAACCTTTGTATGGAATAAATGAACAGATTGTCACATATATTGTTAAAGACGCTGATGCTAATATTCTTTCAAAATTTCATATCATATCTTTTATTTATCATCTATTATACTGTAGCGTTCAACGCCACACTTCAATATATCGACGACGTATTATCAATTAACAATAGATGCTCCCATTCATATGTCGACTCGATATATTCCAGTGAGCTTGAAATAAAAGTTACCACAGAGTTTGACACATCTTTTTCATATTGGGATATTTAACTAGAAAAAGACAATAGTAACCTAACAACAAAGCTTTATGATAAACGTGATGACTTCAATTTTAAATCGTCAACTTCCTTTACTTATGTAGCAATATACACTTATCACCTGCATATGGGGTTTCTTGTCTCCCAGTTGATTCGATACGCATGAGCATGTTCTTCATTTCCATTTTTCCCGTTCATGAAAAGGAGCACACGGCGGTTGTGCCAGTCAGCAGGGGATGCTCACTCCTCCATGGCACCTGAACACACCTTTGATGTTCTTGGAGGACTGTGTTTTCTCTACTTCCGATTTTCATTGTTTAAATGGACTTTGTCCTTGAATACTGTTATCTCCATATTTCATAAAAGGAGAAAATTACCTTACAAAAGAGCGACCACAATTTTTACAAAAAAGTGTAGTTGCAAGTACTGCATTTTTTGAATTCACATTTTCTCCAAAAATACAATCTATGCCTTTTTCAAAAATTTATTGTGTAATTCTGTATCGTAAAGTTTTATCATCCTTTAAATTCAATTCTATTCTGAATTTGAAAAATAATTTAATGCAATTCATGCAATTGAAGATTAAACAGTTTATTTTATATAAACCTTTCTCTTTGAAATTTATCAAAGGGTATTACATGTAAATTAATGACGCAATGCATTGAAAATATGACGTCTCAAAGTGCAAATATGTTGAACATGTACTTGACACAAATTCTTCAGTCTTCACAACTTTGATAATTTTTCAATCAATATTTACAGTGCTGAGGTATATAAACATTGTAAAGAATACAAATAATATAACATCTTATTTTTATAACTTTTTGGAAATTAAGCTCGTTGGGGTGTACGATAGGTATCTTGATCCGTTCCCGAGAATTTTTATACATTCACAATCAATAGATTTCTATGCAGCAGTCGGCATGTGAATTTCGCGTACAATTTCTCGAGTCTGTTAATAATTCAATGAGTATGTACATGACAAGTAACATGTTTGTCACTATAAATGAATTATTAGCATTAGTTATATAAATTATTTTGTTCGAGAAATGAATCTTAAACGAAGATTTTAAAGATATTTCCTATGTAACGTGTATGATCTGGTTCTTACAAGGGATATATAGGTTTTCTTTTTACCCTGTCTTGGTTAATGATTGGAATGATTATTTAGATATCTGTGTCTGAGGGTATTTCACACAGTACTTAAATTCTCTCTTATCTAGAGACGAGGACTTGGTAAGGAACTACTTACACCCTACTTACATCTTGTTTATCCCCTAGATTCCCATTTATAGATAAGAACCTCTTCAAATTTACTACACCCAGAACCAGGATCAATTCCTTGACACTAGTGTTTATACCTTTTATTTTGCTCTTGCCCTTAAAATTGTCCATCCTTAACAGGACTTAATTCTTTATCCTTAAATGTCAATCACGTACATAAAACTCTGATATTAATTTAAACTATTTTTCAGTAGAAAAGGATTTACCAACAGTAAAGAGCCAGGTACGTTAGCAGTGAAAATCGGCCTTTCTTTGAAAATTTAAAATAATTATATAGATATGTCTTGAGGATGTACACTTTATTAATATATTAAAAATTTTCATCTATCTTTTATTGTTAAGTTGCACTGACCCTCTGAAGATGGAATGTATTTTATTGCATTTAACCGCTTTGAGCACTATGACGTCATTATTGCCGTCAATTTAGATCATTTTAAGAACAACTTTAATGTATCAATGTATATTATAAGTAACAGATATGATATTAAAATGTTTACTCTGCATAGTTTATTCACTTCAAAGATAATATATTGCACAAAAAAGAACGTTTTAAAAAAAAGAATGGTCTCCAAAGTGTCGATACATGTATATCTGAATATCATAATGTAGTCAAATTGTTTGCATAATGTGTGGTTTGTTTTTCTCCACAAATAAATTAATTTTATTTTTTCAGTAATGTTAAAAAAAAAATTAGATTGAGATTGCTGAAAGATCCTTGAAATGAAGTTTTGGTAACAAAATAGAAGAGTAAACAAAGAAAGATAGCTTACTTAAACATTAATTTTGACCTATTCGCACTTAAGTTTATTCTGTTATAATGCCGAAAATCGCCTTTTTTGAGATTAATTATTACAATTTAAAACAATATTAAATTCTTCATGCAAAAGAGAATAATGGGCAGCAAAATTAAATAAAGAAATTATTTCAGCATTATTTAATATTAATGACAACTCAGGCACAAAGTGGGGGGGGGGGGCTCCTTTTTTTCAAACAATTTTATATATTTCACTCTTGAAAATGTTTATTGAAGGGCTAGTTGCCTCCCCCCTCCGTAACTTTTTGTTGCAGCTTAGTCAAAGTCAGGGTTATGTGGTAATGTATGAAAAAAATTGATTGTGGAAGAATTCCCCAAGGAAATAGGATTTTTCGAGTTTGCTCCCCCCCCCTCCCCTTTCAAAAACGATACTATATGTACATACCTGCAATCTAAGAAATATACAGAAAAGTTCATCTGCATATTTTGAACATACAATGTATATGAAACATTCAATAAAATCTTTCTGGGTCTTGACTGCAGAACCCTAAAATTCTGAGTTACTCTAAGGTTTTATTTAAAGTAAAAAACATATACTACGTCGCTATTGCGCTGAGAAAGGAAGGAAGGGGGGAGTTAACTTTTTTATTTGGTCAAAACTCATACATACAGTAGAGTGGATCTAAATAACATATTTTTGGGTCAGAGTCAGGCTATAGGTGACATGTCTTCATTAGCATTTTCTTTTAGTTTATGATGACCTTGCAAATTGGATTTTGAATTTGGACCACTGACAAAAGTGTCAACTAAAAAAGAATAAAATAAAATCATATTCCTAACTTACCAACAGAGAATGTGCAAAGCCATACAAAACTGCTGATGTAAACTCAAATAACTGTAGTGATAAAATATAATTTTATTTGTCTAATGGGGAATTCAGAATTGGAACTGTACAATACTTTTTCCTTTTAAAACTTTGTGAAATATGGGATGAATTCTTTTTACGTTTTTCTGATATGAAAGGTAAAAGTCTCAAATTGTTCCAATTAGCAGCTGTATAAGAAAATCATCACTTTAAAAAATAAAACATGTTCCATGATTGTGAGTTCAAAAATAAAAACAACAAACACAGATACACTTTGCAATAAGACTTTGTATTTTTGGCTTTGAGGAATATATTTATCAAGATCATCATAAAAAATTTAAAATAATTACATAACATTAATGTTAATATATACATGTAACAAACAAAACAGAAAAAAGAAGATTACATGTAGAGTTGCCGATTTCTACATGCGACAGAACACTCACATTCTATTTTCCAAAGAAAAATTTACTACAAGTGGAGTGGCCTATTATTGCACCAGAATTGAAAGAAAAATCTACACATGTAGCAAGCTACTTCCGTATCAAACTTAAGCTTATGCCTCAGACTGAGAGAAAATCTACATGTGGAGTGGCACCTGACATGACACTCACACAGAAAAATTAAACATCAAAATTGAAAAAAAAAATGAAAATGTACATGAGGAGTGGTCCATTACCGCACCCAACATAACACTAGCACAGAAAATTTTACATGAAAATTGAAAAAATGAAAATCTACCTGTGGAGCGGCCCATTACCACATCTGACATTACACTCATACAGAAAATCTACATGTGGAGTGGTCCATTACCGCACCTGACATAACACTCACACAGAAAATTATACATAAAAATTGAAAAAATGAAAATCTACCTGTTGAGCTGCCCATTACCGCATCCGACATTACACTCACACAGAAAATTATACATGAAAATTGATAAAAATGAAAATCTACCTGTGGAGCGGCCATTTCCGCATCCGACATTACACTCACACAGAAAAATTAAACATTAAAATTGAGAAAAATTAAATTCTACATTTGGAGCGGCCCATTACCGCATCCGACATTACACTCACACAGAAAATTATACTTGAAAATTGATAAAGTAAAAATGTACATGTGGAGCGGCCCATTTCCGCATCCGACATTACACTCACACAGAAAATTATACATGAAAATTGATAACGTAAAAATGTACATGTGAGCGGCCCATTTCCGCATCCTACATTACACTCACACAAAAAAAAATATACAAGAAATTTGATAAAGTAAAAATGTACATGTGGAGCGGCCCATTTCCGCATCCGACATTACACTCACACAGAAAATTATACATGAAAACTGATAAAGTAAAAATGTACATGTGGAGCGGCCCATTTCCGCATCCGACCTTACACTCACACAAAAAAAAAATATACAAGAAATTTGATAAAGTAAAAATGTACATGTGGAGCGGCCCATTTCCGCATCCGACATTACACTCACACAGAAATAAAATTATACAAGAAAATTGATAAAGTAAAAATGTACATGTGGAGCGGCCCATTTCCGCATCCGACATTACAATCACACAGAAAATTATACTTGAAAATTGATAAAGTAAAAATGTACATGTGGAGCGGCCCATTTCCGCATCCGACATTACACTCACACTAAAATATTAAACAAGAAAACTGATAACGTAAAAATGTACATGTGGAGCGGCCCATTTCCGCATCCGACATTACACTCACATAAAAAAATTATACAAGGATTTATTTTTAAAAAAGTTATACATGAACATTTCCAAACAGACAAAAGAAAAAATGAATTCCAATAACCTGTCAACCTAAATGAACAATACAAAACTTGAAATACACAATCAACAAGTTAAATTGGCTTCATTCCTCAGTGGCTTCAGTTTCACTGTCGCTTTCATCAACTACCTCCGGAATGTCCGCTGCATCACATACATTGTCTAACCAGTTCTTGCCTAATTGAAGGTTGATCACGTTAGAATATCTAGCAAAGGACAAGTACCAAATAACACTAGCAACGTGTGCACAGGTTCCAACTACTCTTGCTCCTGATTTACAACGGCAATACCAAGAGGTCACGACACCATCCTCAAACCTAATCCAGCACAGGTAGCATTTGCTTGAGATATGTCTACTCTGGATCTTGGCAGCAAGGAGGCCTGGTTTGTGCTGGTCAATCCAAATCTCATATCCATCCTGGTTCACATGTTCCTGGGTGTAAGACTTTGCCAATTTAATTTGATACACACCAAGAGTCAATTCTCGAATTTCTTCCTCTGTATACTTAGGAAAGTCATTTAAGGTGATATTTTCATCATCGATCTTCCTCCAAATGTACCGTTTTTTAAAGAGATTTTCTGATTCTACCTCCATCTGTAGCAGATTTGTCTGGGTAGAGAGGTATCGCATCTTGACTGCCATCTGTAAATCACTCTCTTCATCACCACTGCTGAGAGGGGGCCTAAAACAATTTTTTTAAGCTCAATTACAATGTATTCTAAATTGAAATCTTCATAATAAGAATTTAAATATGTTCAGGCTGTTTTAAAGTTTTCTAATTAAACCTATTAAGTGTACCTGTATTTGTTGCAGATTGCACTAATAATTCGCACGTATTCGCCAACATGTGGGATCTGAGAATTTGGAAGCTGTCTTGCCAAGTAGCGCCACGTCTTAATTCTAGCATTTACAGATTCCACAACCCACCTAATCTGTTATACGAAAAATTCATAATCTCTGTTAATATACCAATACATGTGTGCATATCTTACTTATATGTCTATAATCAATCAACATTCATTTACTGAGTGCATGGTACATGCATGCATACCTTTGTAATTAAACGAGAACTATTGACATCCTCTATGGAGTGTTGTCTCTGGCCTTTTTGTAAAAAGGACGGCATCTCCATATGAATGCCAAGATTTTCCAGCACTCCAGCAGAATCTCTAAAGCCCCTATCCACTATCATGATATCATCCTCTTGAAGCCAAGTCTTAATTTCTTGAGTGTCTGAACCAATGATGTGCTTTAAAATGTTTGCATCTGAATTCTTCCCATCAGCTAAATATGGTCCAATGGCAGCTACAATGTATCCTGTGGTTGTAACAATCATCATTGGTTTCAGTAGATGCCTGTTAATAAATAGTCATGCACTTAGTAATTACGAAATTATAGCTTATAAATTTTTTTTATTTTACAATTATGACTTACATTACATTTTATATAATCTTTAACATGTTTAAATAGTTGCAAATTCTTTCCATGAAACCCAGTTTGCAAAAATTATACTATGATAAAATTATAAATCAGTTTATTGCTTTGCTGATGCCCCTGTATGACAGCTAGCTCATGCATGGCCAAAGTTAAACTACCTGGTAAATGCTCAAATAAAACCCCAAGGTCAAGAAGTCAAAAATATGCCCCCAAAAGTAAAAATTCATATTTAATAATATGTTTAATATTTCTTACCTTTGTTTTTGCATGCTGTATGACCGCCTTTGAAAGGAAAACTGTGAACTCTTCTGAACATATATATATGTTCCATCCAGCACTAATATGGCCTGATTGAGGGTTGGAGAGAACAGTTCTTTGGCAAGGGGTCTGGTATGTTCATGGATAACAGTATCCCTGTTAATATGGTTGAAACCAAGGTGATTTGGGACAAAGTTGATACTAATTGCTTGTCTCATGGTGGATACAGCTCGTCTAATCTAAAACAAAAATGATTAAGTTAGCTTCATATCACATTTCTTTTTATCAAGATCGAAGTTTTTTCATCTTCAAATAAAGTTAATTAAATCATCACAATTAAATGTGCCCATTAAATAATGAAAGTTCTGCAGTTGAACATTGTTGGTATTTCACTTGTATCTCTAAACAGATACAAATAATTTAATGTAGAATCTGAATAAATCTAAATTATATCTCATACTTCAACTTATATTTATTAACTAATTAAAATGTAATTTTCACTATTTTTAATTCTCTCCAACCTGTGGTTTAGTCATGTTGAACAAAACTCCCAGCATATTGTTATCCACAGCTGTCCTCATTTTGGTCAGAAAGATTGCTAAACAGGTTCTAACACTCCTTGACTTTGATGGCCTTATGTCTCCAGCTTCAACATATGCTAACAAATCATCGAATTCACTTTTCTTCAGTCCAGTGAGAGTAAAATACTCTCTTTCTGATAATGACGAGGGGTCATCAAAGTCTAATCTCTTTGATCCTCTTCTTAATGATTCTTGTCGTAGTTGCTCAACAAGCTCCATAATGGTAGTTCTGTTAACAAAACTTGTGTCCTTTGGTGGTATTGGGTTCTCTATAGTCTTTGTGATTATGACATCATTCAATATATGTGCTGGACAACAACGAGAACCTGTTAAAAAGATGTTTATACCTCTATTAATATCACAGTATATACACTGAATTATGCATGCCTGGTACAAACAGTTATAAAGTCTTTTTGACAAGATGCATGATTATTTTACTAAGCATTGACAGAAAAAAATTGCAGACTTTCAGGTCAGTTGAGCTTATAATATCTTATGGCTTCTACACCTTAATATAATATAAATAATTAATATGTTAAGAAAACCATTCATACCTGCAGGTATTAGAATGTTCTGTTCCAGGAAAAAGCTAAACCTTGCCTGTGTGGAAACCACAACTAGCTTGGGACCAGGTCTCCTACACAAAACACAGTAAGCATGGCTGTTTACTATGCTTAGTAAAGATAAAGTCACAGAAGGTGGACTCTTGATACTTCCTACAGTACTTTTTCCAACAGGGCTATGTATGGGCCGAGCTGTGCAGGATGGTCCATATGATTTCTCTGCCTGATGTGGTGTTTCTTTTAATGCATCACATTTGTTCCTACATTTTCTGCATAAAACACCTCCATCTCTACACTCAGTCATAAAGTTTCTTCTTAAAATCTTTCTTGTGCTTTTATTCACAGGCCGTCTTTCACCAGGCTTTGTCCTTTTGTTGCAAAGTATGCAAGGATAATTTTTTGGCCCACAACCTGGCATATTCCTAAAAAAAAATCACATGTGCATTCACTTTCAACAAGGCAATTCAACCATTTGATCCGGGGGGATTGGATTAAGGCCTGGCAATTTTTATTGATCAGGCAAATATTACAACTATATATTTGTTTTCAATTGCCAGTGAAGGACAGATTATTAACTTTCAGGATAATTGGAGACAGATTATTTATTTTTTTTTCTCCATAGAACAAAAAGTCTATCAATAAAACAAACAAAGTAACAATAGGGAAAAATGCTTTTGGGAGGGATGCAAATAGCTAACACCTGAGGCAAGGACAGATTATTTTATTTTATTTCATTTATTTTTTTTAACATCTCGGAGGACAGGGTATTTATTATAAAATCAGCCAGCCACACCATCCCTCAGAAACAAATGGCTGTCCCAGGTTAACCCATCTTTTCTGTATTATAGTTTGGACAAACAGTCAATTTTTTTTTTCAGTTAGTCTCTCACAGATTTATATAATGGAGTTAATTTTTTTCTGCATGCAGATATAAATATAAAGTTATCTAAATAAATATGTTTAATAATTCACTGAAATTATCATTTGATAGTGATGACATCATGAGTATCATGAATTTTATTCATTTAATAATTTTCCTGTATGACTTATTAAAGTTAGTTTGTAAATCATAATTAATATACAAAGCAATAAAAATAGGATGGTTAAAGGGTTCTTAAATATCAAAATAATATTCCTAGATAGCTATATACATGTAGAATATTACATCTGAGTGATCAATCAGCAAGATATAGTACAAATTAAGTTATTAAATTAGCATATGGGGCAATACATGTATATGGTCATTTTATAGCCCCAATCTAAGAACTGTTGTTCAAGGACATACTGTTTTAATATGATACTGAAAAACCGGGTTTAATTAACTACATACAAATTATAAAGTTAATTAATTATCCACTATCAACAATAACAACAAGATGTGTTTGTGAAACACTGATGCCCCCGTATGGCAACTTATAGCAAAGGTTAAACTTTCTCAAATGCAAATCAAATAGTTGGTATCCAAAGTTAGGTCTTGTGTCGAGGAATATACCTGTGAAATATGAGAGCCCTAGCAGCAACCATTGAATAGATATAGAAAAGGTTAAAGTTTTTTTTCAACAAGTAAGTCAAACATCCAGGTCAAAGTCAAATGGTCAAAGTTAATGGTGCCGAAGGACAGGCCTTTTCATAAAAAATATACTGGTGAAATATGAAAGCTGAAGCACCAATTGTTTAAAAGTTATGACCAAGGTTTAAGTTTTTCAAAAGAAGGTCAAACTCCAAGGTCAAGGTCAATGGATTACAATTGTTGGTATCCAAAGGGAGGTCTTGTCACAAGGATTATATATGTCGAGTGTGAAGCCCTACATGTAGCACAAACGGTTCAATAGATATGGCCAAGGTTAAAGTTTTTCAAAAGTAGGTCAAACTCCAAGGTCAAAGGGTCAAAGTTGTTGGTATCCAAAGGAAGGTCTTGTCACAAGGATTACATATGTGAAGTATGAAAGTCCTACCATCAACCGTTCACAAGTTATGGCCAAGGTTAAAGTTTTTCAAAAGTAGGTCAATTGTCAAGGTCAAAGGGTCAAAGTTGTTGGTATCCAAAGAAAGGTCTTGTTACAGGGATAACATATGTGAAGTATGAAAGCCCTAGCTGCAATGGTTAAAAAATTATGGCCAAGGTCGAAGTTTTTCAAAAGTAGGGGTCAATCTCCAAAGTCAAGGTCAAAGGGTCAAAGTTGTTGAAATCCCGAGAAAGGTCTTAATTGTCACAAGGATAACATGTGTGAAGTATGAAAGCCCTGGCTGCAACGATTCAAAAGTTATGGCCAAGGTCAAAGTTTTTCAAAAGTAGGTCAATCTCCAAGGTCAAGGTCAAAGGATCAAAGTTGTTGGTATCCAAATAAGGTCTTGTCACAAGGATTACATATGTGAAGTATATGAAAGCCTTAGCACCAAACGTTCACAAGTTAAGGCCAAGGTCAAAGTTTTTCAAAAGTAGGTCAATCTCCAAGGTCAAGGTCAAAGGGTCAAAGTTGTTGGTATCCAAAGAAAATCTTGTCACAAGGATTACACCAACTGTTTAAAAGTTATGGCCAAGGTTAAAGTTGGGTAAAATTTTGCAAAAATGGGTCAAACTCCACAGTCAAATGGTCACAAATGGTGGTACCCAAAGAAAGGTCTTACCACAAGGAATACACATGTGTAATATGAAAGCCATAGCTCCAACCAATCAAAAGTTATGGGCAATGTTTAAGTTTTTGCGGACAAACAGACAGACGGACAGAGAGGGCAAAAACTATATACCCCCGAATCTTTGATACGGGGGCATAAAAACAGATGAACCACTTCTTGAATAAATTGAATTTTACCTATAGATAAAAATTCAACTGTAAAAAAAAAATGATTATATTTTTATGATAAATAAATTATTTTCATAAACTTTTAACTTCTAAAACTATAATCTTTCAAACTTGTTAAAATTGTAGATGCTTTGAATTGAATAATATTGATTGTACATGCTTTAAAAATAGTCCGCGATCATGACAATGTCTAAGCAACAGTACATATATATTCCCTCTGGTATAAAAGTCTAAATTACATGTTTTTTTATGCAGCTATTCAGCAAATAGTCATTTTATAGCATAACCCTTAGGCCAAATAAAAAAAATATGCGTGGTTCCGGTTACCCGACCGTCCCTATTTTATACCCCCGACCCTAAACTTTTTTCCGGCAATTTTCATATTTTTTCTAGAATTTTCCCCGATTTCCATCATTGGCTCAGGTATTAGTTTGTTTCAGCAATCGCGGCCTCCTTGCAAAACATCATTTCAACACATAGTGCAAGTTTTTGATAGTGTTAAATCCAAAGCAAGCTAGCATGTAGGTGTTCCCTACCAATGTTGACTAGTATATCACGCCATATCTAAATGCCACTTGCAAAGCAGTGATAGGTATTATTTAGAAATATAAAGAAAATCATTTTGTAAGAAAAAAAATCCCTACCTACTTACCCTAATTTTTTTGGAGATGTAACCGGAACCACACATATTTTTTTATTTGGCCTTATATAAAAGTGAATTACATTGAGGTAAAAAAAAATCTATAAGTTTGCCACTTGTTAAGTGGAGTTGGGGTGGTGGAGGCTTACTCACACTTAACTAAAAATTCAGGTACATATTTTTTCATTACAATTATACATTGATTTTATAAGGGAAATTAAATTGATTAGGTTGTTGTAATAGAATAAGACTCTTAAATTGTTGATGTGACAAGCTTAATATGGGGATCGAGTGAAGGGCCCCCATAGAACACTTTTCTTAACCCTGTTGGTACCTATTTGTAAGCATGACTAGTCAGACCCCTTTAAATGTATATATATGTGTGTGCGATAACCTTAGGAAATATAAATCTGCATTTATTCTTTATTCCCAAATTGAACTTTCAGCATATTGATAGAAAAGATTGAACATTAATTATGCATGAAAATTATGTAAAAGAATAATGTACATGATGTGTATTTGCGCAAGGAAAGTGTTTGAGTTTATAAACACAAGTACAGAAACAATACAATTATTGTATATTTGTCCAAATGATATACATATTAATTGACTTATATAATTATCTTATACATGTACTTGATATTCTATATATTATTATCATATATGTAATACCTTTGACACTAAAAAAAAAAAAAACAGTCAGTTTACCTGTAATTAAAATTCATATTTTTCCACCTGCATTTTCCAGGCAGGTAGAAAAAAATATTTCATTAAAAATATTAAACGTAAAATATATATTAAATGATTAAATCATGTAACATGGCCTATATCATGTTTATATACTTGTAACTTCTCCTTTACTTTGAAAAAAAAAATATAAAGAAAGAAAACATTGACCACTTTTGAATAAAATATCCAACTTCATGATAAAAAAATGACTATTAGAAATTGAACTATACCTTAAAAACGCAGTGCAATGTCCACTAGGCCTATAATTCAATCAAGTGACTCACACTATATTCATCAGCTCATTTCACAAAGCAGCTTTAAACCTAAAGTATGAAAAATATCTTTTTAGCGAAAAGAAAAATCGAAAATATTCTCTTCCACATGATATTTATCATGTAAAAATCCATTATATTATATATTTTATTTGTTTAAACTACATGTCGTTTTATAAAAAAAGTCTAACGAAAAATGAACAAAAGCGTGATAGACTTTTGGCAAGTAACTGTATGTTGTCAATGTAAATAATGAAAAGTTCTATTTTTAGACGATTGGTGTACGAGCTAAGTTTTACCTCGAAATAGACATAAAATATATATTTTTTGAATTTGTACATTTCAATTATTTCCTTTCACACTACACTTTCTCAGGTTTGATGTTTATATGCGGCGTTTGTCCATGTTTTGTATGTACCTGACATGACAGCCGCCTTCTGCGAAAGCGAAAACAATGGATCACACAAATGTACAAGGCTATTAGAATGTAGAATTTATTTATGCGTATCATTCAGCTTCACTACAAAGTTTTACGTACCTTTAGATGCTACAATTTTTCTCTAAATACCCTTCTTTTACGCAGTGCCGATCCTATGCAGGTCTACATATTGCAGATACATGAACTAGCTGTGCGTCACAGGTGTTACGTCACAGTAAAACATGGTAAAGCAGACGACTGAATATTAGAATTTTCGAAAATTCAATGTGGCCACAGCCCACGGCCAGAACGAAACCTGTTTAAAGCAACTCCTTTTATGTTAATGTATTTCTGGTTAAAATATTTTTGTGGCCGATGCTTGTGGCCACATCGAATTTTCCAAAAAACCGAGTGAAAAGTGGAGAAAAATGCTCGTTTTCCGGATACGACCTAGGTTCGGATGATATATAGCAGCATAAGAAGCTTGGATCCGCCCAAATGTTTACATATACAAAGACTTGGGATCTTTAACTTTATAAATATACATGGATAGTGAGGATAGGCTGACTTTATTTTTTATGTATTTTACAGGGCCTGCTGACATTAACTAACGTACCTAGCTCTTTCAAAAAAATGTAATTAACTAAGAATTAATTAGTAAACAAAGATTCCATTGGAGTATATGGGGATAAGCGATTTATTAAAAATTGAAATTGAAATAATAAGAATATCAATAAATACTGTGGTGGAAAATTGCATTAAAACATTAGAAATAGAATGACAATTGAAAATGATTTTTTACTAGCAGATAATTTATAAAATAAAATGTTTTTTTTAATTAATTAAAACAGAGGGAGATAACTCTTACCAAAATTCAAAGACATAAATTAGGACATACCCATCCTTACATGCTAATAATAATAAATGGGAATTATGCCTAAATGTAGTAAGTGTTTAACCCCTACACATCTGTTTTGTATTTATTTTCATTTAATCTGTTGCTGTTAGGGATGGATTAGCGCTTCACTTTTTTATTTCGGATTCAACATCCAACTTCTTCAGCTTGCTTCTGAAAGCCTGACTTCCCCAAAGCTTTGCCTTATATACCTTTTGGTTTGGCTAGTTTATTCCAAGGGTAATCAGGTCATTCCACTATATGAAGTCTTTAATGCGTTTTACTCAAATGCCCCTTAACCATTACACCTATATATTCCTATGTTAAACTTCGACCTACTGTTTTGGCCCCGCCTTACCCCCGAGGGTCATAATTTGTACAATCTTGAATCTAAACTACATGAGGATACTTCTGTAATTAATATGACTAATTATGGCTAAGCTGGTCTTGAGAAGAAGATTTTTAAAGATACTTATTATATCTTATCTTCCTATGGTAAACTTTTATCCCCTGTTGTGGCCTTGTCCTACCCCCAATTGTCATGATTGGAACAAACTTGAATCTACACTACCTGAGGATACCTCTGTTATTATATGACTAATCATGGCTTCGCTGTTCTCGAGAAGATGGTTTTTAGAGATTTTTCCTTTATATCCCTTTATAAAACTTCGAACCCCTCTTGTGGCCCCGCCCTACCACTGGGGATTATGATTTGACAAAATGGAATCTAGAGTATGTAATAATGCTTTCACATAAGTTTCATCTTTTCTTGCCTAGTGGTTTTTGAGAATATTTCTAAAAAATGCCACCAGATTCAAGAATTCTTAATCATCTCCCCTTAAAAAATAGAGCTTTCATTCCAATTCCCAAACTGACAAAAGTAATATAATTAAAACAATGTATGATCAACCATGCCATCTTGCAATGTGAAATGCTTAATTGATTGTTAGTTTGTTGCTTTACGCCCTTTGTCAGAATTTTTAACTCGTTTAAGGGTTCACCGAATATTGGTGAGGGCTTCAAGTTTAGACCTATACTCGGCACCTACGGCCTTTGAGCAGTGGCGCTTCTTTATCTTGCCAACGTCTCACCAGACACAGACGTTTTTGAGGTAATAACCGAATGACTTGTGACTATGCTCATGACGAAAGAACGGTCTTTATCTATGGTTTACGTCTTAGGTTTGACACGGAACCGTGAAAAAGAATAAACCAGGGCATCCTTATCACGAAATAGTTTAATGTTATATAATTTAGAAATATCTATTACTTTTTTTACATAATTTTATCAAATATCATTAAAGAAATAAAGAAAAATATGTTCAGGGCAACATTTGTTATGCAGATATATTTCAGGCAGAATAAATTTATTCTTAACATCATGTTTGTATAGCAATTAAACGTTGTTTTTTTTTTCTTCTGACATACATGTATATCGTTTCCTATCTTTTATATGCTTTTATAAATGCTATTTGACTCTATAGAAACATTAATAGATTTTTTGTTGCTCTTAACTGTTCTTACAACTGAACACGACCCGTAAATAGGCCTACGCCATATTAGTTTTCCTACCTCCCATATAACGACTGGGGTATACTCTTTGTATTCGACCTGGCTACTTTCTTGTCATTGGTACCTGCGTGGGATGGACCTCACGTGTTCGGGTTGGTTATATAGCATCACCTTTGATTACATTTAATTGCAGTTTACGTGGATTTGTGTTTGCACTGCACTGGCTTGTGCAACTTTTGAAAGTTTATTTGGTAACTTTCTCTCCTGCCATTGAAGAAGCACACAATTACTTTTGTCGCTACCGAATGTTTTACAATGGCTTTGTAAAAAACGTCTACACAGATGAACATTGATTACACTGAACCGTGATTAAGTTAGAGGCTTATATAGGGGCCTCAGATGTACATGTAACTACAAGATAAGAGAAATATGGCAGACAAATTCCTTTTTTTTTTAATCATGTTCACCTTTAAGAGTAAAAGTTGTTAAACATTTTCAGGTTAAAGGAAATATTATCTTTAATGAGCATTTGAGCAGTTTAAAAGATTTCTTTATGTAAACAGAGATTGGTGTGTTGTCATCAAATTCTAGAATAACAACTCTATAAAACATGTAACCTACAAATTTGTAAAATACTGAAATCAAATGAACAGGAAAGAAAGAAGAAAATAAAAAAATATATAACATAGCCAAAATTTTCCCTATATGTAGCTTCTTTATTTTTTTTTAACAAAAAAATAATTATGTATAAAGAACAAAATAATTCGCGGAAAAATAGTTTCTCGTATAAGTTAACTCTCTAAAGCTTAGTGTAGTAGTTGGAAGGTGTTTCCAATTTTAGCATCACTGGATTCTCATGATTCAATAAAACTGGCTGATCGTCCTTTTTGAGCAAAGACACATCTTCATTTTGGGGAATGGAAGAGTCGCTGACAAAATATGATTTTTCTGTCATTGTTCTCGGGTGATTTATCCTGCAGGAAAACAAAATCTGTTTTTAGAGATAACTATAAAAATTAAACATATAATAATAAATAATAAGAAATTTAAGGATACTTGAACATTGTTTCTTACCTTTGAATTATTTTGTAGAGCACACACAACAGGATTACAAAGAGAGTGAAGCAAAGTGCACCAAGAACACCAAAGAAGTATGTTTGGTAGTCTTGGACTGCAAAAAAATACATATAAGCTAAAATATTTCATAAATTTGGGAATTTTTTTGAAAAAAAAGTACTATATACTAACCCTGTAGACATTCACTCCCCTTCACTCCAGATATACAGCCCAATTTACAGGCACCAGTCACGTGATGACAGTCACGTGATGTTTTACAAAATGTACTGCATGCACTTTTACAGTTAGGTCCGTAAAACCCAAATTCACAAACTAGAAGAAAACCAATTCACACGCTGATTGAAATCAAAACAAAATATTTAGAGTATATTTATAGTGAATACTCTTCATGAATATACCATAAAATGTGCGGCTGCAGTTAAGGGATTTTTGAAAGTATAATTCATTTACTACTTTACACTACCTTTATCACATTTATTTCCATGATATCCAGATCCACAGCCATTAACACAGGAACCATTGACGTGATGACAAGGTTCGCTGTCCACACATTTACCACAGGTCTCATTACAACCATCTCCATACCGATGCTCATCGCACTCTATGATAATGATAATGAATTAATATACAAACAGTGGTTACTTAAACTTTTCTTCAATAATAATTACCAATTACTTCACAACTATTAACACTTCTCTCACTTCTACAAATAATAATGGAAATTATGGTTAATAGGTAGCGTTTCACCAACAACTATATTATGTAACATTTCTCAGGTGTGTTATTATAAATTGTGATTTGAATGCTTTTTAATTGTGCTTCAGTTACCCCTATACAGGGTAGTTAACACAATAACTATTATGTAATCTTTTAAAGTGGAATTTTTATGTACGTGTTACGAATGAAGCGTTTCGCTTTGTATGCTTGTGCAGATTTTTATGGAATTGTAAAATGAAAATCAACTTGTATCTGTATGAATAACAAACGGTGGTTGAAGGTAAAGGCATTTACCCTCATGACAGAATTCTCCTTTCCAACCAGGATGACATATACTTCCACATGCACCACTAAATCTGTCACATTGTTTACATGTATCATTACACCTGTACACACAGTTTTCTCCAAAGTATCCATTCCGGCATGCTGAAAATGAAATATGATTATTTCATAGCCATTTAAAAATAAAGTAAATTATGTGAACTTTGTTATCTCGAATATACATAATTGGAAAGAGGTATCGTTTTCAATGAAAAAAATTCTCATTCCAAAATTATTTCTTTTATTAACAATTTTTTCATGAAAATGCCGTTGTACGTTTGCAATCCATTATTCAATGTATAGGGTATTTTTTTCCCTCTTTTAATTCCTCTTTGAAATGTACATGTATTTCAATTACTTTTGTTACATAGTTGCCCTTCATAGCCCCCAGAACATCCATCCAAACACGTTCCATTTATTGGGCTACATTCCTCTGACTTCTTGCAATGACCACAAGTCATGTTACAATACTCGCCAAAGAACCCATCATTACATTCTGAAATGATTTAAATATCTATTGATTCACACAAAATACAAAAATATTTTAGCAAATTGAAAAAAAAGACAGTATCTATTTCTTACTGTGACAAGAGCAGCTAGCTCATTGCATTTCGTCAAATCTGGAACTACATGCATAGTTCGACACATTTATGATTTTTTATGCACTGCATTTAGCAAAACGTTGGCATTTATTTTGTAATCTTTCGCACTACAGCTTCCAGAAGATAAATGCTTTAAAATGTTTGTGTGTTGTTTTTCTTTCGGTTTTTTTTATTGTTCGTTGCAAAAACATTCAAAATAAAAACTAATGTGATGGAATTGTTTTTAGACTTTAAAAGTCATAAAATGTAATCAAATCACATTTAATTAATTACTAAAATAACCCTTTTCACTTGGAATTTAATTGATTGGAATTGGCGTCCTAAAAGCATATGTTGAATTTTTACATGATAAAATATTTTTGAAGAACGTCATAAAGGGAAATTTTGTGAAATTAAAGAAAAAAAGCAGAAGAAAACGATCTCTTTGGAGATCAAGCTTTTCTTAGTTTTGTTTTACTTTTTCAAAATTTGATGACATGAGAATATCTTTGTAGTTTACAAGATAATAGAATACCAAAATCAACAGGAAGACAATTCTTTAAATGAATTTCACTAAAGTAGAGAATAACTGTATCTAAAATCTTAAAACAATGTGAATTTGTGAAAATACTTTTATGGGTCTATACCTTCATGGCAGAATTTTCCTTTCCAACCAGGATAACAACCGCTCTCACAAAGCCCATTTGTTATATTACATCCTTTACATGTTGTATTACACGTGCTGACACAATTTTCTCCAAAGAATCCGTCTATGCATGCTAATAAACAATAAATTAGTAGTAATTGGGCTTATTATTGCAACGCCTTGCTGTTTGACTTTAATACATTTCAAAGGAAGTATCCATATTAATGTACAATTCAAAATAGTATTTGAAATACTTTTATTGCAGTATTGTCCTTCATATCCTGCAAAACATCCACTCAAACACGTCCCGTTTATTGGGTGACAATCTTCTATATTAATGCAATATCCGCAATTTAGACCACAATGCTCTCCAAAAAGTCCATCATCACATTCTGGAAGTTTAATAGTTTTTGTAATGCACGGAATGCATTGTATAAAGTGTTTAAAGTTGGTGATTTTCATGCAATTTTAAGTTCTTTTGAATTGGAAAGTGTTTCGGATAAAACTTTTTAGAGGACTTGAATTTAGTCTTAAAATTGAAAGTTCGGTAAACAACTTGGTTTATTTCCGACATACAAGTTACCTTGAAATCAAACTTAACAGATACGATTTTCTATTTTATTCTTAAATCATTTGTGCAAGAAATTGTAGCAAATTATTCCTACATTGCGTAGAAAATTAAATACCCCAAATGAGGTTTAGCGTTGAGCGTGAAGAGTTGTGCATAACCTTTAACAATCGAATAGTTCATGGAATTTCAGACAAAAATTCCCTTTATTTCTTTAGATTGGTAGAAAGGGTTTGAAGAAAATTATAAATTCATTTGCCTAACAGTATTCAGTTTTCATGTTCAAACATCTCCAACTGCATGAAACTAGGGAAAAATTATCTTAATTACGGAAAATACAACAATACGTGTAAGTGTGAAACGATGTCTCTGACGTAGTTTACCTTCATGACAATAATCTCCTTTCCATCCTGGATGACACCCAGTTTCACATTTACCATTTGTTCTGTTACAGCCATAACAAGTGCTGTTGCACGTCTCCAGGCAGTTGTGTCCAAATGTTCCGTTTTCGCAGGCTATAAAGTCATTTTGTAACACAATATAACTCTTACAACTATATATGGAAAATGATAGGAGACAGAAACAATAATTGTGTTCAACAATATATATTTTACACTGATGACTGTTTTACTTTTGTTGCAATAAGTCCCTTCATATCCTTCATCACAACCATTCATACATGTCCCATTAATAGCCTGGCATTGTTCTAAGTTTACACAGTATCCACAAGGCATACTACAATTACTTCCATAGAATCCTCCGTTGCAAACTGGAAAAAAGCAATTATAAAACAAATTTCTATTATATAATGATATATGTAATTCGGTTTCTGCTTTCCGAGTTCAATCTTGAATTCTATAGCTATGTTAAAAAAATAGTATGAATTAATTTTTTTGTTATATTTTATGTTTTTGAACGTTTTAATAATATCTTAAACCTTTATTCTTTAAATAAATCGATTTTTCAGAATCAAATGTAGTATTGTTACCTTCATGACAGTAAGCACCTTTCCAGCCAGGATAGCATCCATTATCACAAAGCCCACCTGTCCTGTTACATCCTATACATGTATCATTACACTTGCTGACACAATTTTGCCCAAAGTATCCGTCGCTGCATGCTTCAGCATAAAGCATGAAAATTAATAATCTTTGTAATTACAATAACAACACATACGTTTCAATAATTTACTATGTTTTATGTGCGATGTTTTATATACATTTATGAATACATTTTGGTTTTGTGTTTCATTACATTTATTGCAAAACTGTCCTTCATATCCAGCGAAGCAACCACTTGAACACGTTCCCTTGACCGAGTGACATTCCTCAGAGTTCTTACATTGTCCACAAATCATGCTACATTGTTCTCCAAAAAATCCATCATCACATTCTGAAAATAAACAGTTCAAATTTTAAAGAATAGGAAGTGTATTCATATATCATATATACAAAGAATGTTTTATATAGATGTTTTGTAATACATTAAAAAAGACTATATGTATAACAAAAGGCTGAATCTGATTCTCAACGAACATATCCTAATACATGGTACTACCTGACCAATGTTTATTCCTTGGGAAGAAAATAGTTCCTTTCCCTTGAATTATACAGTGTGTCGTGAAAATATGTATTGTTAAGGAGAATTATCGAAAGAAAGGGATTGTCATAAGCTTTTTTGTGGAATTAAGTTTAACGTCTCTTCTTTATATCAATATATCGCAACTGGTGATGCTATATTTATGTCAAAATGTAAATGATGATCCATTTATGGAGTACTAGTAAATTTGAATACCTTAACACGTGTTTACAGTTTGGGCTAAAGGGGGGGGGGGTTATCTGTTAACATATCAATTCACAATCGTCATTGTACACAATTTACACCGTTTTGATGGTCAGAAAAGTTTGTGGAAGTCTTTTATATTTTTTTTTTTTTACGGAATGAGATATAGGTCTTTATACGATTTTTTCAGATCCCCTTGTGTTTATGAAATTACATTCCTGGTCAAACTATCGTAATGTGAGAGTATATTATAAACGATACTCCAACATAACTGAGGTCAAAATAATTACATGTGATATGAAAATTTACATTTTTTTCGTTGTATTAAGAATAATACCTGTAACAGCTTAACTCGTTGACTTAACCACCCTTCCATCTTGGATTAGTGGATGCGACTTGCTCTGCTTAAAGCGGTACATGTAGTAAAATTTATATATATATATATATATATATATATATATATATATATATATATATATATATATATATATATATATATATATATATATATATATATATTAGGCTTTAATTATAGGACCTCACCTTCATGACAGAATTTTCCTTTCCAACCAGGATAACATCCATTGTCACAAATTCCATTTGTTCTGTTACATCCTTTACATGTATTATTGCACGTTTCGACACAGTTTCGTCCAAATGTTCCGTTTTCGCAAGCTGTAAGACATATGATTCATTTTAACCAATAGTATTCTCACATGTATTTTTAACTGACGACAAAACATAAAATTTATGCAATTACAGTTCCATAATACGTATAGTAAAATATTCCATCATATCTTACTCTCATTACACAACATCCCTTCAAAGCCTTCATCACAGCCATTTTGACATGTCCCGTTATTTGGCTGACATTGTTCGGACCATAAACAGTTTCCACAAACCATGCTGCAATTATCTCCGTAAAATCCATCATTACATACTGCGATTTAAAAAAAAAGAAAGATATTACCTTCAAAACAAATGTATTCACTCTGAATTGTGCTTCATTTTGTTTGTCTGTATTTTTTCTAATTCCTTGAAATACGAAATAACATTTTTTTTTATTTACTGTAGCATTATTTGGTTAGAAACTACCTAAAAATATATACTCTGACTTTGTAACTTTTGAAAAAGGTGTAAAATTTTTACCTTCATGACAGAATTCTCCTTTCCAACCAGGATAACATCCATTGTCACAAATGCCGTTTGTTTTGTTGCATCCTTTACATGTTCTATTACATATGCTGATACAATTTTCTCCAAAATATCCGTCACTGCATTCTTGAAAGCGAGAAACATTATTCCAATGAGCTCGCTCGCTTGCATCTTTATCGTAGAGATATTTATTTAGAATGCAAATATTCCAACAGTTAATGTTTGTTATACCTTTGTTGCAGAACTGTCCTTCATATCCTTGAGAGCACCTGTTTAAACACATTCCATTTATCGGATTACATTCTTCTGATTTCTTGCAATGTCCACATGGCATGCTACAATTCTCACCAAAGAACCCATCATCACACTCTAGAAAATAAAAAAAAAATATTTTCTGAGAAAAAATTGATGCATGTATTATACAAAGAAGAGGTCCATGAGCCACAACGCTCAGCTGCGTCATCCTGATCCTGCTGTTTTCAAAAATTATAAATCCCTCCTTTTTTCCACATGAATCATTATGTTCCCACATTGTTGCCCCGATCTAGCACCAAGAGGTCATTATACATGTATCAATAAAATTGGACTAACACACCATTGGGATGTCCGAGTAACTGACTAACATGACTTTGCTGCCCTAGTGAAGAGGCTTTTTTCCCTCATACAAATGTTAATACATTATGTAAAATTGATCCTCTTTTCCTTGCCCCAACTAACCGAAGTGTCATGAATTTGAGTACGAATTAGTGTGGTCCATATATTCTTAAAAAAATATTTCATAAATTTCCGAAAGAAATGCAAGTAAAACATTGATTCATTATTGTTTCCCAACCCTATCCCTGTAATTATGATTTGAACACATTTAAATCTTTATTAAGAACATAAGCATATAATAAGAACAAACAATGTCGAACAGTTCCTGAAAAACCTATTTTGAAAATAGTTATCTCGGCACATTCACTCCTAAAACCTTGATTCACTATTTTGGATTAAACCAATCACTTGCAACAACGTGAACAAACTAAAATCTTCGTTGCCTCAGGATGCTCCAGTAACAATGTCCCTAGTGGTACTGCTGTTCTTAAAAAATAAAATGTCAGATGTTTTTAAGATATATTGCCATGCAAAACATTGATCTCCTAGTGTGGCCCTATCTTAACTCAAAGAGCTATGATTTTAGCAAACTTCAACCTCAACTACCTTAGCGTACATGCATTAAAATATCACTAATCGTGCATTTCTATCCTTGACTAGTTTTTTTGAAATATTGTTCGTTTATATGACCATTAGAAACACTTTGGTGAACCACCCTTCCTCATGAAAATTTGAATTATCAAAATTTCTAATTCAAGCCGTGCTTTATCTTGGAAGATGTTTTCCCCAAAAAAACCTTGACACCGCATCGAGGCTCCATGTATGTTTGCATATTAATAGCACTTATCATGGATGTGCTCTTCATGAGGAAAAATGTTTTCTTACATTTAATATTTTAGTAATTTTGATACCTACTGTGCCCCGTCCTACCCGTGGGGAAAAGATGTGCAAAAATTTGAATGAACACTATGTCTGAAAGCTTTGACATGTTTCCTTTTTTCGTAGTGGTTTTGATTTCCAAGACCCAAATTTTCACTTTTTAAAAATTATCCCTCGGGAAAAAAGAGTGACTTGTTATGTGTAAAAACAGGAATTCAGTCTACCTTATGATGTTTTATGGCATGATTGGTTGATTTTGGTGAAATGGTGCTAAGGAAACAAAACAATGTGAAAAGTTTACAAACGACGGACGACGGAAAGCGGAAGACAGACATACCATACGGACGCTGGGCACTACATTAAAAGATCAGCTCACTTGAGATTTATGCTCAGGTAAGCAAATAAAGTCAGCAAAGCCATATCGATAAAAACAAGGAAATTATTTTCAAGTGTTTGGTACATGTACATCACTTACCTTCATGACAATAATCTCCCTTCCATCCTGGCTGACATCCGTTGTCACAAACACCATTTGTTCTGTTACATGTAGATCCATAACATGTTTTGTTACACATCTCCAGACAGTTTCGCCCAAATCTTCCAATTTTGCATGCTGTAGTTGTAGTTTTGTAACAAAACATTTATCACACAAATTGGAGCAAATTCTTTGAGAACGATTATTTTTATGAAAAAAAATCGTTTCATATTCACGGATGTCTTACTTTTATTGCAAAAAGTCCCTTCATTTCCTTCATTACAACCATTTATGCATGTTCCGTTAATTGGATGACATTGTTCTGAATTTATGCAGTATCCACAAAGCATGCTGCAGTTAATTCCATAAAATCCGCCATCGCATTCTGGAAAATGTTTTAAAAGTTGAAATGCACAATAAACGTATTTAATTATCCTCAATTCTCATTATATAGCGGGTTCCACTGTATCGCGCTATATTTAAAAAAAAAAATCGGATATATAGCTCATATCTTTTTTGTTGATGGACTGTCTGTCGTCTGAATGTTGACGTTTGTGAGGATTAAAAAGTATGGAACATCTGTTGGAAAATTTTTTATTCAAATAAAACGTAATATTACAGATTACCATTCCCGTTATTATTTTAATTAGACCATTGAATTTATATCCTGTAAAATCCATAATAAAGTTCATATTTTGAAAGTCTCAAGTTTGTATTATTGTTAAGTTTTCATATAGAATTACATCGTAAATTTAAAAATAAAAATTGACGTCCATGTCAACTACAAGCTTCCAAAATTTCCAATACGGCGATACAATGAGTCTCTCCAATTTAGGAGGTAATCAAGACTTCCTGTTTTAAAAATAGAATACAAATTAAACGATGCAAGCTTGGAAAATAATTTGACACTAAAAAATTAGGCTATAGTTAGGTTTATGAATATCATTTGATGAAGGGTTAAAGTAAAAAATTGGAATTACACTTTTTATGCAAAAGAATTAAGTACCACGATATAATGAGACACCAGTATATATGGATATAGTTCTGTTAAAATCGACACACATCATCTGCTCTTTGAATAGATTTCTTTATATTTTGATAGATTGATACACAAACAAGTATCTAAATAAATGAATAAATAAAAAAATAAAAGGAATATAATTAACCATCGAAAAATAAAATAATTAGTGTTAAAAAATAGATTTAAAAAATCGAAATATTTTGAGATTTTGTGAGTAAAATTATATAGTTTTACCATTATGACAGAATTCTCCTTTCCAACCAGGATAACATCCTGTATCGCATACACCATTCGTTCTGTTACAACCATAACATGCATTGTTACAGCTGTTGACACAATTTTCTCCAAAGAATCCGTCAGTACATGCTGAAGGATTAAAACAATACCTTATGTTTGTTATTTAAGTCATTTTCTTAATTTTTACATGCATAGCTATTGTACATAGGCAGCAAATCTAGCCTATTCCTGATGTTTTGTGTTATGATAACTTGCCTTATACGACATAAACAGTTTATTCACTTTCAGTAGCTTCAATTGTTATTATTTTTTTTTTTTTCATTATGATATAAATCGTTACAAACAATCCATTTAATCTATGACGGAATTGTGCATATATGCATACATAGAAGCACAGCAGAGAGAGAGAGAGAGAGAGAGAGAGAGAGAGAGAGAGAGAGAGAGAGAGAGAGAGAGAGAGAGAGAGAGAGAGAGAGAGAATTACAAAAAATTGTTGTTCCATCTGTTTCACAGAGTCTCTAATGTATCGTTTTTACCATTTGTATATGAAAAGAACGGTTGTGTTCAATAAAAATTAAGATTTAAGTGTTATATTTCAAAATGCAGAACAAATTGTTAAAACTGTTCTATAATTTAGAATTGCGTCTAGTCTTGCCGCAAATTTCCAAGGTACAAGTTAAATTTAACTGTCTGTATTTTCATTCAATATCTTTTATATTTACTTCTGTTGCATAACTCGCCCTCAAATCCTTCAGTACATCCACTTGAACAAGACCCATTAATTGGTTGACATTCATCCGGTTTTTTGCAATGTCCACAAGAGGCATTACATTGTTCGCCGAAAAATCCATCATCACATTCTGAAATAATTTAAATACTTTTTTAATGTTTTAAATATAGAAAGTATGCTCAAGAAAAAAAAAATTACACTTGTATACATGAATTTTGAAGATAACGAACAGTAATGGATCTCAAAGTCCATTGGAACAATGCAAATTGGAGCAGGGCAAATAAGGACATCAAACACATCAGAGGTGGGATTAGGTGCAATGGAGAAGTGAACATCCCCAGTCGACCGGTCAAACCCGCCGTGTGCTCCTTGTAATGATGGAGAAAAAAACCCGCAATAATCCGAAGACAATTCAATATGTAAATAATAGCATACCAATATGGATGAAAAACGTCAGTCTGAATATGACTTAATGATAGGCTGTATTTACTAACAAGGTCATTATATCGACCATAAAAATTTCGAAATGATGACTTCAAACGAGACTTTGTTGATATTCTTGTTTCCTGAACTTCTTTGTCAATTGCTTGCTTCGTTTCAGATTTGTTCTTAGGTAGAGCGTGCTCTTGGGTATCGAACCAACTGAGAAACATTAACACCATATGCAGGTGATTAGGGAAGATTGCTGGATAGGTACAGTACCCGCATCGTTATTCTTTACAGGATACACGATACGATAGGATACACGCACGATACGATAGGATACACGCACGATACGATAGGATTAACGCACGATAGGACAGGATACACGCACGATAGGATAAACGCAAAACACGATAAACGCAAAACACGATAGACCTGATAAACGATCTTCACGATAGGATAAACGCAAAACCTGATAGGATTGTTTCAAAATGTGAAACGTTTTTTGACAAGACGAAAAGTTTCCTTTTTAGTAGTTTAATAATTTTAATTACTTACAAAGCCGCAAATCTAAATGATAAAATATATTAATTTTATCGTGATAAAACATTTGAGGTAATGGTGCTTTGTAAAAGATACATGTACGTTTTTTTTCCGTCAATAAAACTGATCGTCATCAAATTCAAACTGTAATTATTTAAGATTAATTCCAATCTATGATGCAAATTAGGCGATTGTTTGTGTAATTATATAAATGTCG